ATGGGCTAGAAGCTTAAGCCCAATAGCAATAAAACAGAATAGAAAATATAAAAAAAAAGTTGGGCTATGAGGATTCCGCTGGGTTTAGTGTTGTTGAGTAGAAGGAAGCCCAATGAAAAATGAAAAGGCTAAGCATTTAAACAACAACAACAAAAATTAGTGGACCTGGGCTGAACCGGGTCGACCCATAGTCCTCTCTCCCTCTAAATCGAACGAGCTAAAAAAAACCATAAGCGTCCAAAATTGCAAACGGCGCTCTTATTTAATTTTCCCTAACAAACAAAATATCAAACGAACAGAAGAAAAATGAAGAAGGAAAGGCTACTGTATATGACTTATGTGATGTTGGAGATGTTATAGGGAGGCGCTCGCAGGGGATTCTGGTGGTGGTCGGACTAGGCTTCGCGAAGGAGGTCAAAGCAACGAGCGGTGGTTACAGCAAGTTTAAGGTCGGCCGAAATGAAGCTCGCGAAGTCTCGTCGGAGTTGTGTTGTTGGTGCGCGTTGTTGATTCACGTGTGCACAAAAAGTTGACGTATTTTTCTCTGTATTTTCAAATTCATATTTATTTGTTTTCAAGCCTATGTTTCTCATTCTAACTTCTCTCTCTCTCTCTCTCTCTCTCTCACGAAAATCAAAGGAATGAAGAAAAAAAAGTACATGGCCAAAGCAACGACAAACCATGGTTTGTATTGCAAAAACAAATATTTCAACAAGAAAATAAATCTATGATGATTCAATACCATCAACAAATCAAGCAAGCATACGTTAGGGCAACCATAAGTAAAGATTCAGAATAGATACCAACTCTGAATATTCTCGGAGGTGAAGATATTCTACGGTAATTTCTCTTCTACTTTGCTTCCGCTTTGCTCTGCAAACTTCTTCTTCTTCTTTTCAGTTTTCTTCTTCTACTTCTATACGAATTTGCAATGTTATTGAAATTCCATTGAAGCAGATTCGAATTTAGTGAAGTGATTGCGTTTATATTGTTGTAGTTTGATGATAGTGGTGCGATGCAGTGATGTTTACAGGAGTTTGAAGATGCAATAGAGATTCAGAGAATGTAGAGAATGTTTTGAGAGGTTTGGAATTTTTTTCTGTTGTATGAAATTTCTTTTTTTTTTCTTATGTGGGATTATTGTCTGTATGATACAGAGATTTAAAGTGTAGAGTGATAGTGTAGAGGTGTGAAGGTTTTGGGGTCGATTTGAGAAGAGGGAGTATTACAGTGAGGTTGCTGATTGTTTTCTTTTGACATAATTTTTTGTTCTTTTTTTTTTCTATGAACCGTGGCCCCCTTCTACTGCTTTGAAACCTCTTTTTTATAGTTGAAAGTATCGGGAATTTGGGAGGGAAATGTTGGTGAAGTTTAAACAATTGAGGTATGTTGTTTTCGTGGCTTTCTAATGCAGTTTCTACTCGGTATATTTGTGCAATTGCTGGACTGATGTTTGCAGCAAGTTGATGCAGGTTATGAACTACTTTGTGCAGGTTTTGTAGGGCCGCCAGTTTGTTTGTATGTGCACAACAGGGTAGCAGTTTTGCAAAGTTTTGGGACTGGTTATGCAGGGTTTGAAGCAGGTTGGGAAACAGAATTTTGGGCTGGTTATGGGCTGTTTGCGTAGCAGGTCTTGGGCTGTTTGTGGACAGCAACATTACATTATGCAGGACAACATCTTGGACAATAAGGTTTTTTTTTGTTATGGCATGAAGATTAGGGATATAACATTAGGTTTAGGTTTAGCATGTAACTTTTTAATGTAACTTCCCTTTTGTTCATAAAATGTTTAAAATTGAAGTTGTAATGATGGATGAACTTGAAATAATGCCTCAAATTGAATTTTGCACTTGTAATTGAAATTAATCTCATGTCTTGGATAATTTCGACAACTTTGAAACATCATGCTTTGAAAATGGTCTTGAATAAGAGAAATGATAGGATTTTATAAATACCTAGATGAATTTTGAATGAACTTGATATTTTGGTACATGATTTGTAATGAGCATGTTTTGTAACACTTGTAACAGTGATAGATCGAGTTTGAACCAATTTGTTCTAAAAATCAACATTTCTCCCAAGTTCTCAAGCTTCATATCATTTAACAATTATTCTTCCAACTTGTTCAATATATATCAAGAACTTATAAACAAACCAAGGCATATCATGAATGAATCACCTGACCAAGAAGCATAAGATAAGAGAATCAACCATCTTCCAATGTAAACCCTAATCCTCAATGCACCTGACCTTTGTGAAATCTTTGATGGAAGATGAAAGAAGAATCTCACAATAACCATGGATCCAAAACCCTAGACTCAAATCCCTAATTTCACACAATCTAATGATCAAGAACCAGATAAATCTGCCTTTGTTTGATGAAGAAACCTCAAACCAATAGAAAAAACCCTAATTTCTGACTAAGCAACCTAGGAGATTGTAACTGAGGAGCAAACCCTAATTCAAGATCTTGATGAATTTGAATGAAAAACAATATTTGAATGAGTCTAAAGAGGTGTCTTGAATTAACTGTCTTCAAAAATAGGAGGACAAATTGTGGGGTACAACACTGACTTGCTATCAATTTTGAGCTCCATCTTTTTATTAGTTTCAATTCCATCAGTAGCATGTTGATCCATTGAGCTTGACATGCTGCCATGGAAGCTGCAATGTACTCAGCCTCACAAGAAGATAATGCAACCACTGGTTCCTTCTTAGAACTCCATGAAAATGTTGCATTTCCAATCATGAACATATAAGCTGCAATGCTTTTCCTGTCATCTTTATCACCACTCCAATCAGTGTCTGAATAGCCTGCTAGATCACCATCTTGATCCTTATAGTATTGAATACCATAGCTGCTTGTACCCTTCACATATCTCAGGATTCTCTTAGTTGTAGCTAAGTGAGAGGTGGTAGGTTTTACCATGTATCTGTTGATCAAGCCTACACCATAAGCAATATCAAGTCTTGTATGGCACAAATACCTCAAAGAGCCCATAATTTGTTTGAATAAGGTTGGGTTCACTTCTTTCTCATCATTTACCAAGGACAATTTCACTCCTGTTTCAACACGAGTTGAATTTGGTTTACAATTCAGCATATTAAACCTCTTCAAAACATCGTGTGCATATTTCCTTTGATGTATCACAACTCCTTGTGAATTCATTTCAAACTCAATTCCCAGAAAATATGTGAGATTTCCTAAATCAGACATCTCAAACATCTTCATCATATTTCTCTTAAAGTCCTTCATCTCAGCTTCATTTCTTCCAGTAACTATCATATCATCCACATATAACCACACAATGAGCTTATTAGTGGTGTTTCTGCAGTAAATTCCATGTTCATTTACACACTTCATGAAACCTTGTTGAACAAGAAAGCTTTCTATCTTCTTATTCCAAGCCCTTGGGGCTTGCTTCAAACCACACATATCTTTATCAATCTTGTATACATACTTTTCCTTTCCCTTTATCTTAAATCCTAGTGGTTGATTCATATACACTTCTTCTTCTAACTCACCATGGAGGAATGCATATTTTACATCTAACTGGTACATATACCAATTGTTCTTGTCTGCTATAGCAACGATCAATCTGATTGTTTACATCCTTGCTACTGGAGCATAAACTTAATAGTAATCTTGCCCATACTTCTGTAGGAAGCCTCTTGCAACTACGTTGCCTTATACTTTTCCACCTGACCATTTGGCTTCAGTTTTGTTTTGAATACCCACTTAACACTAATGCACTTCTTATCAACATGTAATTAAACTAATCTTCATGTTTCATTCTTCTCTATATAGTCTAGTTCTTCAATCGTTTCTTTCTTCTTGTGTTTTTGTTGAAGAGCTTCCTCAAAAGACACTGGTTCAGTTTCAGCAAGCATTGTTAGTTGCACTATGTCACCTTCATCTGTGACTGCTTGATCAGAGAACCTCTCATAATCGCTCAATCTGGCTGGTGGTTGAGTGTTCCTTGTTGGCCTATTAGTAACTCCTGCACCTCCTTCATTTGTATCCTTAACAATTTATTCTTGTTCCTCGGTCTTAACTTCTGCTGTCTCTAAATCAGATATATAGAAGTGACTGTCCGGTTTATTTGATGCCTTGCCTTCCCAGTTCTAGCATTTTGATTCATCAAACTTCACATCTTTGTTGAACATTATTTTCTTAATTTGGATCATATAGTTTGTAGGCACCAGTTGAGTGATAACCAACCATAATCATTATTTGAGATTTATCATCCAACTTTCTTCTCAATTGATCAGGTACATGTCTGAAACACAATGAGCCAAAAATCTTCGGATGTTGAACACTTGGTTTTACTGCACACCATGCTTCTTCTGGTGTCTTGTCTTACGGCTTACTTGCGGAACTTCTATTGATGATATATGCTGCAGTAGCAGCAGCTTCACCCCACAAGTAATGAGGCATTTGCTTTTGCTTCAACATGCATCTTATCATATTCACCAAAGTTTTGGTCTCCCTCTCTGAGATCCCATTATGTTGAGGTGTATATGGTGCAGTGACTTCATGACTTATGTCATTTGATGAGCAAAACTAATTAAACTCAGTGGAAGTATACCCACCTCCTCCATCAGTTCTTAATCTGCTAATTACTTCACCACTTTCATTTTGAACTAGCAGTCTAAACTTCTTAAACACACCAAACACTTCACTTTTCTTAGCTAACAAGTAAATCCATAATTTTCTAGTGAATTCATCTGTGAATGTTACAAAGTAATTATTAAAATCATATCAGATTCTTCTACAACACTTTATTATGTACTTAACAGTAGACACAATATATGACACCAAGCTAGAAATTACATTCTCCAAACCACTCAAAGTAAACTGCAATTAGATGAACTCAATACCAACAAATATACATAACTAAGCCAAAAGCATAACTAATTGTAGGATAAATGCTAAGCAGAATGAATACAAAGAAATGGTGTTTCTTCTTTCCATGAGCTTCTTCATCTTCTTCCTTTGCTTACTTTTTCTCATGACCACCAGTCGTTTTTAGGATTGCAGGATCATCATAGCCATCTCCGAAAATTGCTATGTCGTCTGTGTCATCATTTCCAGCAATAATTGTAGGTTTGATGTTAGAGTCACCAGAACCAACACCAAGAGCTGCTTGGACTGCAGGGTCATCATAGCCATCTCCGTAGCCGCCATCATAGCCATCATTGTCGTCACCACCAGTTGTAGGTTTGATGTTAGAGTCACCAGAACCACCACCAATAGCTGCTTGGATTGCAGGGTCATTATAGCCATCTCCGAAAATTGCTATGTCGTCAGAGTCATCGTTTCCAGCAATAATTGTAGGTTTGATTTTAGAGTCACCAGAACCACCACCAGTAGCTGCTGGGTAGATTGCAGGGTCATCATAACCATCTCCGTAGCCGCCATCGTATTCATCACCAGAGTCATCATTGTCACCATTGTAGCCACCACCGGTTAAAGGTTCGGTTTTCGGTTTATCTTCTTTTTTGGGGAAGTAGATGCCGCTGCTACCGTGCTCCTCAGCCATAGTGTAGTAGCAAAATGTTGGGAGTGCATTAGATCCCAATTTATAGAGTGGTGATCATGTAATAAGTTAAGTTCTTATTTAATTTCTTGGTAGGTCATAAATAATTTGTTGAGGATTGAAAAATATGGGCCCACCTTATGCATTATTATATAACACTTTTCACATAAAAATGGAGTAGTATATGTAATAATAATGGAGAATAAAGTATAAGAAATTAAAATTGAAGAAAAGTGGTAAACTTGATCAATCATGGTGTGAGCCCGAGCCCACCAACTAGTACCATTTTTCACATAAAAAGTAAATTTCGTTGTTTTTTTCCCATTAACAATAGTCACATACTCACATGTGTGTAGACATGGTGTGGAGTATGGACTAAGAAATATTACTGCACTTCTTTTTAGATTCATCTGTTGATATATCAGTTCATGTACAGCGTTTTGGTGAAGTCTGAGCTACTACATCATTTCTTATTATCTTTGTTAGGCAATAAAGAGAAAATATGAAGAGGGAAATAGGTAAGAGAGATATGATAAAAGAGAAAGATGTGAGAAATAAAAGAGACTTTGGTTATTGTTTAATTTAGGAGAAAGAAAAGAAAAATAGAAGAGAGAAAAGTGTTGATATTTTTAAAAATATGAAAATATCCTTATAATTTTAGCTTAAATAAAATAATTTATTAAAATACTAATTACTTAATTTAATTAATTAAGTTAGTTTCACTAATTCAATCAAAAAAATTCTCACTGATTAGTAATTTAAATAATTTAAAATAATATTTTTAACAATTAATTAAATTAAAATATTTATATTTTTTATTTAATTTTAATTAACTAATTATTTTAGTAAAAATTTGTATTTCTTTATTATTAAAAAAAAACATATGTTTCCTTAATCTCACTCACCGTCCCACCATAACAGAAAATGTCGTATTTTCTTCTTTTAATATAGCAATTGTAATATATATGATTAATGATTTGTTGCTTCAGAAATATGTTTATGTTTTAATATGCATGTTTCTCAAACCAAAACTCTTTAAATATTAAATAACAAGTACAAAAATGGAAGCACACTTTCTTCTCTAGTTTCATCTCAAATTGGAGGGAATAGCAAAATGTGTGGGTCCCACACAAATTTAGACTGTCTCGTATTTATCTTCAGTTCCAAATAGGAGAAGTAGTCTTTCTCTCTCCTACTTCTCTCTCCCTATACTACTCTATCTGTTTTAAAATATTGTGATTTTAATAAATAAAATTTATTTTAAAATGATTATCATTTTCACTTTATAATATAAGATTAATTATTATTATTTTAATTTTATTTTTTATATTTTGTTTTGGACATTACTTCTAAAATATTAATAAGATTAATTTTAAAAAATTATAATATCTTATAATAATATTATTATATTCTTTAATCTGTATAAAAACTTTAAATAATAATCATTTTAAAATAGAGAATATTTTAAGCCATGCAAAATTAATCTTAGACTTTGATAGCTTGTGTCTAAACTCTCTTAAATTTTGAAAATGGAAAAGAAAGATGCCATGTTGGGGTGATTGCAAGTGAATCGCGTGTATCACGTGCATATGATGTGGCCTGCTCTCGTACTGGTAACGTTATTTATTTTAGACATCTTTAATTAAACATACCATGTATAAATGCATAGCGGTGGAAATAGGCCAACCGAGGGTTTACGACCTAATTTATATAAGTTTACATTAGATTTATTTTTATTTTTTAATAAAAAATATTTAATTTTTTTTATAAATTTATTTAGTTAAAAAGATTATGTCTCAGACTATAAAAAAAGTTTTTTAAATTTAATAGACTAATTTATATAAATAAATATGAATAATTTATTTATTATCATTATGTTATGTTTCACATTTTGAATCAAAATATATAAATAGAATTTGGTTATCTTAGAAAATTTATGAAAATAAGATGAAAACACCTAATGAATAATGTTATAAGTTATTTTCACAAGTCCTATTAAATAAATAATCTCGCAAAACTAATAAATCAATGCAAACAAATTTTTAGTCTCATTGATTTTTTAGTTTGTTAGTCTGTTTAACCATTATTTGAATTGCTTGTTTACATATGTTTAAAATAATAGGTATTCATGTAAACTAACAGATTAACCAAGCCTTAGAAAAGACCAGATTCAGACCTAAAAATAAGCTTATGACAAACTAAAGGTTAGACTTAAGCTTCAATTTTTTTGACAGACCAGACTTAGACTTGACAAAGTTTAGCTCAACCCAACCTATTTCTACTTCAGCACCAACGATTTATATAAAATTTGATTGTAGTCTTTATTAAAAACATTGTTTGAATTTACCATTTTAATTTTATAACACTTTTAATTGATTTTGTTCCTTCCAATAAGAAAGTAATTATTAGTGATGGATAGAAATGATGATAGAGACTAATGTGACACTTAAATCGTTTGGATATGGAAAGTATAAAATTTTGGAGAATTTTGCGTATTTTTTTATAGGTCATGCTAACACGTGTCCTAAAGATATTATAAATATAAAAATTTAAATATAATTAAATATAATAAAATTATATTTAAAGTTTCAAAACATTGAATTTATGCATTCTAAAAAAATATTTCTACAAATAGCTTATTAATTTGTGTCCTTGAGACACATGTTAACTTTTTCTTTCTTTATTTGACGTTTATGTCCTTTATATAGATGTTTTATTAGAGATTTTATATACTTTTAACCCTTATTCAATCATCATCAACAGAAATAATTCAAAATATAACGTTATGTTATATGACGGTCCAGTCTCATTCATTTGCGTATATCATGTGCTTTTTTAGGGCAGATCCATGCTTATTCCATATGTCCTAGAACATTTCTTTAGATAACAATTATGAGAATGATGGTCCATCCTCTGGCGACACTAACATGACGTCATTATAGAATATCATTATAAATATCTTCGTCTTATTTGGCTTCACGTGTCATGGGTCTCATCTCCTCATGGACCGATATTTAGGGTTAACACTGGATAGGAACAATTTTCCATGAGCCTACTTTGGCATATCCATGGTGTGCCTAGTGATTTTACACTGTTCTTGTCTACACTTTGTACGACTTAGAGTCTTTCAATCTTGATCAAACAACAACCGAAATTTTCTCTCATTCGGATATGTGACATAAACCCAACCTAAACTTTTTATGTTTTACTGTGTCGTATTTCGGTATTGAATATCAGCTACATATTTTAAGTAGTATTTTGGTTTTGGTCGAGTTTTATTGAAGAATTATGGAGGTCCAAGTTTCCATTGGAATGAAGGTTGATCTAGATTATTCGCCTACTTTTGTCGTTTATCGTGACTTATCTTGATCATTTTCCTACTATTCGTTGGCATGAGACCCCTCTTTTCTAGGTGTTATACGCAATATTGTAACATGGAAAAATGTAGCTACCTAGATTTCTCGTGACAAGTGTCTATTAGTAATCATTTCTTCGTATCTAAATATCTCGTATAAATATCATTACCTTTACTTGTTATCATCTTTTCGCTTTCTCAACTTTCTTGAAAGTTAACGTGTCTTATAGTCGCATCGTTTCCTAATTTTCATTATATGTGGTGATCTTTTTCTTCATGAGTTTCTTTCATACCTTGTGAAAATGAAGATGATTTTCTTCTTCGTGACACCTATTTTCCTTTTTTTCATATTTTTTTTCAAAAGTGAAGATGATTTTTTTAAGGACTATATTTTTAGGGTTTATGAATAAAGTTCGATGAGAGTCATAATTTGTAGGGGTATAAGTATAATACTTTGTTTTTTGAACTTATTGGGTTTGATGGGTTGGATTGCATTATTTTAATGTGAAACTTTAAATGCATTATTTGTTAGAGCTTCTATAAAAAAATTCAATACACAAGGCTTATGGAAAATATTGTTTTGATATACCATTTTCCTTTAACATGTAGTCATTAGTGATTTTTTGTGGTTTCCTTCTATCAAATTTACCGTCCCAAAAGAGATGGCCCATCTAGGTGCTAACATAAACGAAATGTATTTAGGTTATCAATCCATTTATTTAAACCCGATGATTTGCACCATTTTGATTCTCATACCTTGTTTGGAAAACCCGATGAATGGATCATGGTCCTTCCCAGCCCAAATGGTCGAATTTGTGGGAGGTTCCCTTTTATAAGTTTCCCATGTGTGATGTTACTTTTAGGCATTACGATTTCCATTTTCCTTTCACCTAGTTCGAGCATTATTAGTTGTCGAGTATGATGTTTTCCCTTATATGTTGTTCCATCTTTATTGTAATTATATTCAATCTTTCCAACATTGTGTGTTCACCTTTAAATAAGACCTCGAGCCACGGTATTCTGGAATATATTTCAAACCTTTTGGGAATTCCCCTGTAGTAATCATGGTTTGTGTTCCATTGTAGACCTTTTGATATTGAATCGACATCGTTACTCTCTGATATGACGAATCATAATGGTTAGCACTTCAACACCCAAGTCAATTTAGGGTTCAAGATAGTATGGTAATGAAAGTGAGGATTATAAATTGTGTATTTGAAAACTCTTTGTCTAGGGATTTATACCTTGGGCTCTATGGAGCTGGTTGGATAAATGGGCCTCATATTATTGGGCCTTTGGCTGACTCAGTAGTGGGTCCCTGGCCTTTGGACCATACTAAATAGTTTCCCCTAAGACTCGTCGAGCACTCGGAATATTAGGGAGATTTTTTAGTAGTCGTGGTCGGCCCATGAGATGGTCGCTTGGTGTCAACTGACATGTGCAGCTTTGTTTTTTCCAAAGATTAATGGAGAATGTGAGCATGAAATGCAGCCCTATCATTGAAACGTTTTTCCATTTTCCTCTTGATGTGTGACCTGAAAAGGTATGGGATGGTGTGACATAACTTACTATGCACTCGAGTACACTTGAGTTTGGTTGTATTCCCGAGATGAAATATGATCGTTGATTTACACTTTCTTCTTGCTTT